ATAATGTCTTGATTTTCCTTCCCATTTTGCCTTACAGCACTCATAAACTAAAAGTAGTCACTTTTCTGCATATTGGATGAAATTGTTTTATAGGCTAATCAATTACAGTTTCCTAAAACTACACATAACTATAAAATATAGTATTTTCAAATCAAAGATAATTCAGTTATTTATCTATGATCAAAGTCATAAAACATAATTTTCCAAAAATTATAATGGTTGTATAATCTAGATTTGTTTGGTTTGGGCCAAGATGAGATACATGATGGGTAATATATTAATGACCTTTTACACTTGGTTCCTCCAAAGCTTCTTCATTTTATTCAGCATTTAGTTTAAATTAAATATTTTAAATTGAAGCTGTTCTATGTTGCAAACACAGCTAAAATGAAGAGCTTCTGTGGCAGCAGTGACCAGATTTTAAATGCAGGTAGATCAATAAAAAAAAAAAAAATCCACCAAGCACAGGCTCCATGTGTGAGTGGAATGGTTTATAATAGCTTGCAAATGACTATGTGCTTGCTGTAACCAGCTGTTCTTAAATTATGAATATGCAACCACTTCATGTTAAAGCCAAATCCCTGCCCTATTTCTACAGAGAAATCCCAGTAGTTTTGCTTGTTCTACATGTTAGCTCTGTTAAGGATACAAATAGCAGTAAGCTTCGGAACAAATAGGACCAAACTATTGGCATTTCATGCACTGGGTCCATTATCACAGCAGGGGATGTCAATCATTGGGACATTCCTATAACAGCTCAGGCAATATGACAATGATCTTGTAGGGGGAAAAAAAATCAAAATCTCTGCAGCATACTCAAAGTCCTGACAACCAAATGCTTTCTTACTTCAGCCAATCAGATTGTCAAACCTGACCTACTAGAAGACTTGCATCAAGCCTGAAACATTCAAAAACATCAATCATAAAAACAAAGACAGGACATTGAATTATACAGTATTAACCTCCAGGGTTTGCATACAAAGACCTTAGATTTATTTATGTCCCAGTGAGTTAAGAGCTTCAGTACACCGTTCTTTACACCAAACTGACTGCCAATTTGATGAACCTCTCTGCCCTCAGCAGGAGTGCACCGTCTTTGATTAATGAGTGCATGCTTGTGGAAAAGTGTTAAGAGGAGAAAACAGAGGAAAAACACACAATTATGTCCACATATAGCTTAAGTACCAATACAACCACCACCTTCCAAACAAATGCTCCTTTTTCCTTATGTACACATGCATACATGTGAACAAACCAAATTAGTAAGGGTTCTTATCTATATATCACCTTCATTATTAGTATCATTTCTAACACAATTTTTATTTTGAATGAAAAGCATTCAAAAACCTAAGTACAGGTCAAATTTCATATATTATAAAAATAACTACTGTTAAACCTCACCCAAGGATATTTTTTTTTCCATTGATTTTTCAGAGGATGGGAGGGAGGGAGAGAGACAGAGGCATCCCGCACTAGCACGACTGGGGCAGGGGATCGAAGCCTGTAACGCAGTGGATCTCAACCTTCCTAATGCCGCGTCCCTTTAATACAGTTCCTCATGTTGTGGTGACCCCCAATTTCATTGTTACAAACTGAACATAATTAAAGCATAGTGATTAATCACAAAAACAATATGTAATTATATATGTTTTCCGATGGTCTTAGGCGACCCCTGTGAAAGGGTCGTTGGACCCCCAAAGGGTTGAGAACCGCTGCTATAATGGAAGTACTTTCCTTGATGGGAACCGAACCCGGGAGCTTTCAGTCCTTGGGCCAATACTCTAACCACTGAGAAAAACCTGCTAGGTCTACACATAACTATTTTAAAAAACAAGTTGAAAACTCCCTATCTTGTACAGTAATTTTTGAAATATGCCTCATACTCTTTAAAAAGCCTATTCATTTTGAAAACTCAATTTTTAACTTACAAATATAAGGACTATTAAATATTTTATATCTCAAACTGTATTGATTTGTCACAAATCATATAACATTCAAAATTGATTTAAAAGTCATGAAAATTCATTTTATTTTTCTTTCAGCAAAGATGTCAATATTTTATAACTCCATATGTAACTGTAAATTAAATATATTTATTGCCCAAAATATCAACGTTAATATAAATTAAAATACTTATAAAGTTTTAAGCTTTTTTTGACTCTTGTAATTAGAACTGCCCTCCTTTATGAAACCCAATGAGGAAAAATTCCTACTTAAATTATGGGGTACTAAAAGTAAGCTAAGAATTCAGATTTCTTTAAAAATTTTTTCATTTACTATATAACTCAATTTTACACAATTTAACTTGAGACTATCTGCATTGACACAAATATGTTATGAGTAAATGTATTTCTTAAAAATTTTATCACAGGCTAAGGTAATGATTTTCTTTTTAAGAAACTATGTGGCTGTTATATAGAAGGGTGGAGAAAGCATATTACCTCAATATAAATCTTAACTTTAGTCTCAGTAATGTATGATCTATAAACTTACGATTTCAGGAAACTATAATCCTGGAATCACTCAACAGTGTATGATAAGTGTTTAAAATGTATTTATTTTGTATAGTAAGTCTTTTAATGGGATTTAACTCCGCAAATTATATATTCTAATCATCAATTTTACACTTTAAGTATTTTAAAAGCAAACTATTTTATCTGAAATATAAATTTTATGCTCTGAAAATCTGTTTAAATGTATAATGTATTTAAAGATTTAAAAATTAAAAGTCAATAAATATTAGGACTAGAAAAATCTTTTAACAGTAATAAACTACATTATATCTTTAAACTTATCATCCTAAAGTCTTCTTGCAGAAAAGTTCATTTTTTTTCCTGTTGGGATTATCACTGTTTTTCCTCTTTCCTTCTTATCTCTTCTCCCACCAAGAAGAAAAAGGCAGCAAATAATCAGAAAAAATAGAGCATAGGCACCAAAAGAATGACCATTTTAGTACCACAGTTTGACAGTTGGAACTATCAAAAAAAGTTATTAGTGAAATAAATATATTATTTCAATTTTTTAAATAATTAAATGACAATTCTTTAATAATATCTTCATTACTTTATAAAGAAAATTAAACACAAAGCTGCCCATTTCCTCAACAATTCTTTTCTGAATATCTTCTGCAACAAAAGTTTAAACAAATATTTAATCAAATTACTAAATATTTGTTAAATAAAGCACAATATTTTTAAAACCTCATGGTATGAAATATTTAACTTTATAATTTAAAAATCTCATAAAATACCTAACTAGGTAATTTAAAGAGTACCTCAGGATATCAAGTACATTAAATGTCATTAAACCTTGATGACACAATTTTATCTAGGAGTCAAAATCACCACATTACTTAGTTTGTGATAAATCATATCTTCTTTTGGTAGTTCTAGCAAGGACTAGGTAAAAAAAAACACACACACAAAGAAAAACACCTCAAATAACAACTTAAAATCTCTTTCTTTGAGAAATCTTTAAATCTAAAAGTAATCAAGTTTTAACACATACTTTCACTAATTCAAGGAGATGAGACAGAAAAAACATGAACTTTCAAGCAACTGTGATATCCTACATCTTGTATAGTAACACAAAAGTAGCAACAAAGACATTAACAATTGCAGTTCAAGCTGGGAGTGACTGTTCTGTTTCAATTCAATGACACCACTAATGGCTTCTTAGCAGCTCCATGAAATCAACCAGCTGTCAAGTTGATGCATCAGAAGGAACAGTTATGCACTCCCATAAGAAAAAGCAACACATCAGGATGTTGGGCAAAACATCTGCTCCTTTACAGTGCAGTTCTAATAAACATGCAAACAAAGAAATAGGAGAAAGGGCAACAGTTCTAAAATTCCAAGGTTTCCATTACAGTCATATGAATTTTAAATAAATGGTTCATAAAAATAAAAACAAATTTCTGCCAAGTTGGATACTTTAAATTATTCCCTATCTTTTGAAAATGCTAGTTATAACTACTCAGATACTTCTAGAAAGGCAAAAACTACATTAAAAAAATCTTTACATTTTAAAAATTGAATGAACTATATTCACCAAGTAAAATCATTATCATGTTATGCACAAAACTCAAATATTAATACTAAAATATATTCTTCATTTAATAAGTACTTAGTAAATTATGTCAACAGTAAGTCTAATAAGTGCATTTCCAAGACTGAATAGTCTAAAAATATTTTTCAGTAGTGTTTGAAAGACTTAAATGTGTTATACTTCAATATTAGTTTAACATATGAGAACAGTAAAGATATTATTCTCTGGATTTTAAAATAAGTACCTACTTCTCTCCAAACCATTACATGATTACAACAGTATTAAGTTCTCATAAATAACTTCCTATGTTTAAAACATACAATTTGATTTCCTAAAAAAATAAACTTATTTGTCATCATAGGCTTAAAATAATTTTACATTTAACCATTCATTTCAAACATTTGTAAAATCTTACTTTTTTCTATCTGACACAAGTGCCTCGATGTTGCCCAAATTATTGATTATGCAGCACAGTAACAATGTGTATAGTGTTTACAATAGGTATGAGACATCAAATATATTTAACTACCATTTTCTTAAACTGCTTATCCTCTGTTGCTTGCCATTTGTAATCTGCCAAATCTTCTAGTCCTTTGTTGCATGTATAATTTAGAACCATCTGTTCTATGTGCTTATAACTATTTAAACATTTTTACCTACCTACAATTCACATAAATGGCAGACATTCACTTCAGTCAAGCTTTCTATATAGCATTTTACATAAAGCAAATTCCTAGATAAAAAGCATAGCAGATAATACCAGTCTGAAGACTGCTACAGAGATAAAACATACCACATACAAGTTTTTATGTCTTAGACAAACCTTTTCATGTATTCAGAATTGTTTCTATTATTTTTTTTTTTAGTTAATTGTAGTCAATGTTTTTCCCCAACCCAGAAGACAAAGAGAATGCAAATTAAATACAGACAGTTTCATGTCCTTGTTAGAAGTAAATATGCTGACTGCAAATGACTACAGGAGACAGAATTCCACTTTCCCATTCAATTTACAGTGCCTCTTATTTATATACCAGTCAGTGTATCATTAAGTTTGATCATGTGACCAACTGAACTTTTGTGAGGTGAAAAACTATTTTAGACAAGCAAATTTAAACAACACTGGTTTTTATTGTTTATCTTTTCATAATGGCTGACAGGGCTTATAGCTTGAGGTTATAAAATATATTTTAAAATCAATTCTGTATTTTAAATACTAACCACATTTTCACCAGTCGTTTGACTTAATATCTGCTACTAAATTTTAAAAGGATCCAGTATCTCCAAGTATTTTCAATGGTTATATATTTTCAAAATATAAACACATATGTATAAAACAGAGTAATTACAAAAGGGAATCTAGGTAATCTAAAATAAGTATACCTAAATATTAACCAAACTGATTAAAGAAAATTCCACAGCAGAGAGTGAGGTAAATAAAAAAGGGAATACGCAGATTAAAAATAACATTTGAAACCCTCAAAGAAGAAAAAGCACGTAGACAAAAAAAGCTAGGTGAATATCAACTGACACTATAAAACTTTATACCATTTTTTTTGCACAATTTTCCACCTGTTACCAGATCATACAATGTGTAGACATTTAGGTTCATTTTTGAGAACAGAACACAAAAATAAACAGTACAACTTATCGTTAATCAGTAAGAGAGACGGTCTTTTAAAACGGGGGGGGGCGGGAGCGAAAAATTTACTCTTGGGACAAATACCCAATAAAGTTTACATGACGTCACTGAGCCCCTGAACATTCCCTAAACTTTGAGTCTTATCCAGACACACTTTTTGCCTCTCTAAGGCTTCTTCCCCTTCCTCAAAAATAAAAAAAAAAGAGAGAGAGACTTGGGAATAAAAATTGCCCAAGATGGCGAAACGCTTGTTGTTTAGAGGGCAGAGGGAAAAAAATGGAGGATATTGTAATATACACAAAGGGATAAATTTCCACAACTCGGCCAAGGGCTGCAGCTGCTTCTCCCTTTACAAGGAAGCAACACACAAAAGATAAAGACGCAGAGCCAGAAAAGAAGGGAAAATCGCCCGACAGCAGGGCCAGCGCTGCCTCTCCCAGCATTTCCTTCCTCCCCAAGTCCCAATTCTGGGGTTCGTGGAACTACTCTAAGGGGAGGGGAGCCGCGAAAGGGAACGGGGGAGGGGGGCAAGAGGATGAAAAGAGCCAAGAAGAGTTGAGAGCTGGCGGCGGCTCCCAGGGAGAACTGCTCCGAGACATTACTGTGGGAACAGCTAGGCTCCTCTAGCCCCGTGTGTGCCGACAAATAGACCTTCCAGGTATTTCCCAGTTCCACCTGCCCCCCACCCCCACCCCGGCTCGTTTCTGTCAACTCCAGAGCTCCAGGCTACGCGGGGAAGAGCCAGAGGCCCGAACTGGGGGGTGGCAGGCGCAGCTAATCGGTCCTGCAGGAAAGAGGGGGCGGAGGCAAAAAAGGGCAGCAGTAGGCGGACAGGGTGGGGGTGGGGGGAACCTCGCAACTACCCCGGCGAGAAGGGGGGCAGTGGATATTCCCGGGTTGGAACAGCGATCTCCACAAGGCCAGAGATTGTTTTTTTTTACTAAGCAAAACTGTTGGCGGCGACCTGAGCGCTGGGAGCCGAAGGAAGGAAGAAAGAGACGCCAGCCGGGCGGCCGAGCGGGGCGGCCGGCACAAAGGAGGCGGACTCGCGGCCGCAGCTGCCCGCGCCGGGGAGGCACGGCCCGCGGCCCTGCTGGACCGAAGTCCCGCACCGGCAGCTAGGAATAAAGTTTACGTTCTCCTGAGACCGCACCCCCCCTCCTCCCACCCAGGACCGCGCATCTCCGCGTCCTGCTCCCCCAAACTCCACTCGGGACCCCGAGCACCACCCCAGCCTCGCAGCCAGCACAACAAAGAGACACACCGACCGGCGAGCGTAAACAGCCGCGGCAGGGCGAGCAGGGCGGGCAGGGCGAGCGCCTCGAGGTAGCGTCTCCGGAGTCTCCCCCGCTCGCCGGAGCGTAGTTTCTCCTTTTCTGTTTCAACCAGCCTTACACTGGGAATTTTCATTTTCACCCGCGCCCCTCTTACCCGAGGATTTTTAACTCACCTTTACTTTCGAACTGAGTTGCGGTGGATGGGATTTTTGTCTTCCCCGGATGGTTGAAGGTTACGATTTTTGTTTTTTTGGAAAGCCCAACACCTCCTTATTCCTGTGATTATTTTTGCAAGAAAAGTAGAGAGTTGGAGTGGAGGTGAGACTGGTGATCGGGAAAGCCCTGGACTCCCTCCTTCTCCGTCTTCCGCCTCGCTCTCTCTGATTAGTTCCTATCCAGCAGCAGATTGAAGCAGGAGATGATTCTTCTCAAGGTTTGTTCAGCAGCTTCACTTCTAGGCGAAGGCTTCATGAACCAAGTGACGTCAACCAACAAGGCTTCTCTCTCTCTCCTCTCTCTAACAATGAAAGTTGCTGTTAACAAGGGAAAAAAGAGAGAATTGTTTATACCATTTCACTTCCAATAATAAATGACCTATCAGCTCCTAAAGGAGCCAAGGGAGGGAGGGGGTTGCTTCTTCTTCCCAAGGATACTGTAGCTTTAAGTTTGCACCGTTCCTGGTCCCAGGAAAAAGTTAGGAAACTTCATGTTTTGTTTTGCTTTGCTTTTAAAAGCAGAGAGGACAGAAAATGAGATCGAAAACGGAATTTTTCAAAAACGTAAACTGGAGAATAGGGAACATAGATTAACCATTTCCACCTAAACTTTTTTGTCCGTAAACTCAGAATACGGTTTAAGTCCACAAGCCAACTAAATTAATATGCCAAGAATTCGTGGGTGTTTGGAAATCAAAATAAAATAAAAAGAAGGACGCAAGATTGTCCCGGGATTAAACGCTACTGCCCTAACACGGGCAAGTTAAACTGTAATGTTTATGCATGGAGTTAAAATTTAAATAAAACATTTTAAAATAGTAAACCGTTTTAAATTTATAAATTAAAACTGTAAAAGGTAATCTCAATAGTAGCTCCCTCCCCCTCCCAATTTCTGAGAGGTTAAAGTGGGGGATAGCTAATTGTAGGAATTGAACACTTGTAAAAATATCAAATTAAGTAAGACTGGTAGCCCATTGCTCCATCTTTAAACTACACACGAGGCATGCTATTTGTCTACTCCAAAAATTTCCAACTTTGTTTTTTACCCTACTATTTTTCACAATTCCAACATCCTGAAATCAGTAAAGTTAAACTAAAGGTAAAGTACAGCACATTCTCTCTTCCTGCACACACTCCATAGTTTCTTAAAAATTATTTAAAAAGAAGTCTTTACCTTGGTAATGCTCTATTCCCAATATGATAAATAATTTTTAAAATTTTCATTGAGGTGTTTTTCCCCCCAAAGCACATTAAAGTCTCCAAATTCATATAATTAAAAATTGCATAATTTAATTTTCAGGATGAAGAGCAAGGGAAAGGCAAGCTTTAGAAGAATAATTTGACTATATATTTATACATATATATATGTGGATAAATGTATCTTAAAAGACACTATTGTTTTATGTTTCCTCTTCAGCCACTGGCTGTGAGTTTAATTGTGCTGGAGGATCTTCATTAGTATTAACACATGGGGAGATTTCACAAAGCTGCTTCATTAGGGGGAAAAAAAAGAAAGCTTGGCAGACTAGGTCTTTTTGCATGCACTGAGAATGTCAGCCTTACCTCGGTCATTTGTAACATAATAAGTGCAAGTACAATGATTGCAATGCTGAAGCACTGGGGGAAGGGTGGAAATACTGCCTGTCTAATAGGGATATCTGAAAAGAAGGCTGCTCATTACATAGTAAAATATATGCTAAAAATTAGTGAAGATGATGGCTCAGGAGACTGATGCTAAATAAATTAATGTGCTGATATGTTTTTAATTATTATTTTTGTAGTAGTTTATTTCATTCTCAGGATTCACATTGAGCAGCAAAGCTTGTGCTAGCACTTATTGATTTTTTTCCCCTGCCACATTCCCGGAATACAGATTTTAATCATTTCACTACACCACACTCAGTAATTTCATTAAAAACTGGAACCTTCCATCCCAGAAAAGCATTTAATTTCAATGACATACAATTTCTCTCTTAGCAGAAAACTGTCTGTACAGTAAAAGCTGGCCTAAGGTTCAAATGCATAATTTAATCCTGAGTTTTCCATGCTCTGCATTCCTTTGAAGCTATAATTTGAGTAACTACCTAATAACTATAATAAGGACAATAATTTCCTTTAATATATTATTAACTCATATTTAATTAACTCAGAGGCCAAGCTCTGTACATGTATGACTGGGTCAACAGTTCTACAATTTCAAAATTTACTAATATTGTTCCAGAAAAAATATAGATTAAAATATAAGTGTAAATACTAGCATTTAGATATTCTGTAGAAACTAACATGCAAAAAAGTTCATGCATGTTTATATACTAGAGGTCATTACTCATATAAACAGTATTTTAAAACAATTGGAAGTAAACAAGGCCTTCCCTAATATTTCTATATATAAAGTATTATAATAATATTTCAGCAATCCCTTTCTGATAGTTTATGCAATCACTAGCATAATTGTTAAAAACATTCAATTTTGAAAGGATAAAAAAGGGCTAGATTCAAGTCTCAATTTTCATAAAGAATTCCTTTAAAACATTTTTTGAAATAACGTTAAATGGCATATTTGAATAGCTTGAATAAGAATATATCTTTTTTTTAAATTTGAATCTATTGGGGTGGTATTAGTTAATAAAACCATAAGGTTTCCAGTGGGCAACTCTATATAACACATCATCTGCAAACTGCATTATGCACTCACCACCCAAAATCAAGTCTCTTTCCACCACCATTTATTCCCCCCTTTGCCCTCTTCCACAAGGATATATCTTTTATTTGAATATTCTTTAAAATATACTGCAAAGCATGGTTCAATTTTTGGTTCAAATAATATTTTGAAATAATATTGGACTTAAAGATGGCACGTTAGTTTTCCAAACAATTGGTTTTATGAGGACATTTAATTTACATTGCCTGGTTTTTAAAGAAGAAACCTCTGGGGAAAATATTTGACATAATAAAATTCACTTGTTAATTTAATGTTTAGATATATGGCTAAGAAATAGAAAAAATGGTACACATGTAATGAAAGGGGTTAACTCATACAAAACTTATATTTAAAAAAAAAAACTCCTAAAAGAATTAAAAAACAAAAACAAAACAACAAAAAAAAAACTCCTACCATTCTACTAGGTAATTTTAGACCACAGTTCAAAAAGTTTTTTAAACAGTATGTACATATATTTTCAAGTTGAAGCCACAAACAAAACAAAGTTGCCTTTTCCTTGGTTAAATGATGAAGGAACTTAAAATAAAAGTGTCCTCAAAATGTTGGTATTAAAAGTGGTGATAGTGAAGAACTTGATTTTAGTGTCTTTAAAATATTTTTAAACTATTTTTTTATCATTATCAAGGGCTACTTATATAGTTTGGAAAATATTTTTGCAACATTCTCAAAGATGAAATGCAGTTCAATGTAAATCAATGAATTAAAAAAATAATTGGCAAATGAAAAAGTCACATAGATTGATATCTAAAATTCGTAAGATGAATTCCTATATTTGAATAAAATAAAGCTTCAGTTTTTATACTAAAATATATCAAATAATTTGGTAATTAAAATAATTTTCCTAATCTATACTTTTAAAACTGTCTTTTAAAAAGAATGGTATACTAGAAATTTAAAACTGAATTACTCCAATATTTGATACCCTCTTACTAAGAAGTTGTGCTTAATTCTTTTTTAATATGATTCCTTCCCTTTTTTCATGTTATCACATTTGATTGTCTGAGAAATTACAACATAGTCATAGAGTTGAGGGGGGAAAAAACAAAATAATTACTAATCGTTATAAAACAACTTGGCTCCCATAGCACTTAATCTTCTGCCTACAATCATCATTTAAATTAGTACTTCATCATGTACAGAATTGTAAAAGAATTAAATGATCAAACAGATCCTTTCCAATATTACTGGTAATTATCTCTATATGATTTACACCTATCCCACAGACTAATTATGCCAGCACTAAAGACTCAATTGTTGCACTTTCTTCTTTAAAGCAGCATCTATTTTAGGACCAAGACAGAAGTTCATAAATAGGTAGATATAAAAGTAAAGATGGATATCTCATTTATCACGATAGGTATTGCACATGAACCTTCAAAGAGTAAGGAATTGCCCTGAACAGAGAACAAAGTCTAGGAAGGCTGACTACAAAAAGTCCAAAGAATGAGAGTTCTAAATAGGAGAACAAGCTGGCCACTGCCATGTCTTATTCCTGTTTCATTGGTACAGACTAATGAAGCTTTATTTGTTTGTATTCATTGAACAAACATTTGAGTCTTGCTATATCCTGTGCATTCTGCTAGAGGCTGGAAAACATGAAAAGCTCACAGTCTGGTTGATGTTGAAAGTGTGAAATTCCTGGGAGATTAGAGACTTAAATAAATCACATTATAAAGATACAAATAATAAAGTTTTGCTAGAATAAAGAGGATGGGGCAACAAATTCTGACATAGTCTTAAAAAAAAAAGCTTTATCAAAGAGATGCCTTTTGAACTGCATCTCAAATACTGAAAGCTGACGGGCAGAAGGAGGAGGGGGTGGATTCTAAATGAAAAAAAAAACACACAAAAAAAAACAAAACTAAGTTTAAATACAAAGTGCCACTAGGTCTGGTATCCATCCACTTGCGAGAAATTCAGTTGTAACAATAATATTCAATGCGAGCTATGAAATAATAGGGTGAAGGAGGAAAAGGAGGCCAGAGGCTGTATCATTGATGGTAAAGTGGTTGAATTTATCCTGAGAGCCAACTAAGGTCAGCAAAGGAGTGACATGATCGACCTTGTTTTCAGGGAACAATAACTGTGAAGCCAGTGCAGATGACAGACTGTATGGTGAAGAAACTGCTTAAGAGTGCATATGAAAGATGGTAAAAGACAGTGGCTATGGGGATTTAAAGCCAGATATTTTTTTTATGTAAAGTGTGGATTTGGTGACCAACTGAAAACAGAGTAAAGGGAGAGGAAGAACTGAATGAAGACTACAGAGATTTCTGGCTTAGGGAATTGGGCACACCAGAGTCATTAAGGAAGGTCTAAGATACATAAGGGAAAACAAATCATAAAGTAGTCTGGAAATAGAACTTGACATTATGCTTTGTAAGTCATTTTATTTTTTAATATTCTTTATTGATTAAGGTATTACATATGTCTCCTTTTCACCCCATTGCCCCCCGCCCCCAGCACATGCCCCTGTGTCTGTGTCCATTGGTTATGCTTATATGCATGCACACAAGCCCTTTGGTTAATCTCTAACCGCCTCCCCCAACACTCCCCTGCCTTCCCTCTGAGATTTAATAGTTTGTTAGATGCTTCTGTCTCTGGATCTATTTTTGTTCATCAGTTTATGTTGTTCATTATATTCCACAAATGAGTGAGATCATGTGATATTTATCTTTCTCTTACTGGCTTATTTAGCTTAGCATAATGCTCTCCAGGTCCATCCATGCTGTTGTGAATGGTAGGAGTTCCTTCCTTTTTACAGCAGCGTAGTATTCCATTGTGTATACCTGTGGGGAGCCGATATAGGGTTAAGCCTTGGACTGACCTGTTGGCAAAGTCACAAACAGGTCTTCCAAGTCTTAACCCAATTCGAGAGGTGGCCGCTGATTTACATATGCTATCATTTAAAAAATAAAAAAGGGGGAATTTGCCGGAAGCCGGTCCATCCTTGCTGCTTGACACAGTCACTGCAGGGAAGAAACATCTGCACAACATATGTTTCAAGGGACCTGGGGTATATGGCATACTGTTCTTAATATGTTTGCTCCCCTTCTTAGCGCTATGTGTTTTAACCAAGGTCACCTCTCCGGGAAAGGTTG